TTGTAGGGAAGTAAGCCCAGTACCATTTGGGTCTTATTAGCTAGATACAAGTACCCAAACATAAAGGATATGACTGTGACATATATCGTACAGCTGAGTAAGACGTGACTCCAAAATTACACCTCAGTTGATCCGTTCTCAGATATAATAAATTATTGTATGGACCAAGTCCATACAACTCACTTGGCTGAGTTGGTGGACTACACCAATTAATTGTTGACACCTGCAATAAAAAATTATTTTTATATTCAATTTGCCACATCAGCAACATCTCTCTCCTCCTATGAAGCACGGACACTCCTTCCAGGGGCCCCGTACCCGTGTCGGATACTTTTCGGACACCGACACCCGTGTCCGAGGCTCGGACACGTGTCCGACACTTCTGTAAAGTGTCCAAATATTATTTTTTATTGGACACGCGTGTCCGAGGCTCGGACACACGGTCTGACACTTCTGTGAGACAAAATTTATTTTCTCTCACTCCTCTCAGTCTCTCTTCTTCTTCAATTATCTCTCTTCATGAACAATATATATATATATATATATATATATATATATATATATATATATATCAGTTACATGAACAAAACTTTGTGAAAGACTAAAAGTATATATGTTTATTTATATACATATTTAGTTCATTATAGTTATGTCTCTTCTGCACATCTTCGTTTGGAATTTGGATCAACTTTATTTTTCATTTATTTTCTGTTTTGTCTTATCTATATTTTTCTTATAACAGAGATGAAATTATTGAAATTGATTTTGTTCTTTGTTGTTATTTTATTTTTCTGTACAAGATTCTAGTAATTATATTTTGAATATATAATTTTACATATATATATATATATATATATATATATATATATATATAATTTTATAGGCGTATCCCCATCGTGTCCGTGTCCTATTTTTTTGAAATTTGCCGTGTCGGCGTATCCGTGTCGTGTCGTACTCGTATCCCGTATCCGTATCCGTGCTTCATAGCTCTCCTCTTTCAGCCTTCCCAATCGACTCATCTATTATCGTTCTCAACTCTAAACTTGCCCTCTCTCTCCCTCTCTCTCTCTCTGCAACTACAAACTACAAAAGCTACGAAAATCAAAACCCATATATTTTAGTTTATCTATCTGTCTGCAAGAATCAGAAGTTGAAAACCCATATCGGCATATCATTTCAGATTGTTCAAAAAATCAAAACCCATATCTTTCAGTTTTCATCGCCCGCTGTTCCAGATCTTGTTTGGAGCATACATAAGAATCAGTGGCCACAACCGGGGAATCAGACCCTTTTAACCCACCATCGTTTTAGAGAGAGAAAGAGGAGAGAGACTATTGGGTTTTGAACTTCTGATTCTTGTAGATTTTGTAGTTTGCAGTTGCAGAGAAAGAAAGAGAGGGCAAGAAATGGAAACTGATTGGGAAGGAACAGCGGGCGATGAAAACTGAAAGATATGGGTTTTGATTTTTTGAACAATCTAAAATGATATGCAGGTTTTCAACTTCTGATTCTTGCAGACAGATAAATAAACTGAAATATATGGGTTTTGAACTTCTGATTGTTGTAGATTTTCTAGTTTGCAGTTGCAAAGAGAGAGAGGGGGACAAGTTCAGATCTGAGAATGAGAATAGAGATGGAGGCGATTGGGGAGGCTAAAAGAAGAGGGAGACCTTGCAAAAGTGATGTCGCAAATTGAATATAAAAATAATTTTTTATTACATGTGTCTATAATTAATTGGTCTAATTAGTCTAGTCCACCAACTCAGTCAAGTGAGGCATATGAATTTGGTTCATACGATAATTTCTCCATGGTGAGACCTTTGGGCTTTGTTCAGTGTACTTCTAAGTTTTGCATTATTATAAATTACATGGTCCCACAGTCAGAATCATTAGTTCTGGAATTGATCATTAACACGGACACGTATGTAAATAAATGTGTCACTGCGTTAACTTTATTTAGTATTTTGTTTACAGATTAAATGTGTCAGTTAATGATTGATAGCGACCTATGATTCCGAGATCACATTATAATTTCTTGTTTTGAAAATCTTTTATACATGTGAATTATGCTTAATATAGCTGATGCTGAGACCTCTTTGAGTTTTGTTCAGTGCACTAGTAAGTTTTGAAGTTGTTGTAAATACATGTGAATTGTGATTATCTTATACGTAGTAAACAAGTGGGCGGCTTTAGTCACTGGTGTGTTCCATCAAGTTAGTTTTGTCTAGTGGTGGACCTCCTCAGAGGTCATCATGTACACCCAAACACTGTAACAAGTGGATTCGGTAGAGTTGAATCCTATATTTCATCTTCTTCTAATCTAGTATAAGGTCGTCACCTCAGTGCTGATTCTTATTATATATGTATGTATGTATATATATATATATATATATATATGGAATGAAGTGACAAAAACACCCATAATATATACTTTTGATAACACTTTACACCACTATTTTAAAAATTGTGCATAAAACACCCTAAATGTTCCAACATTGTGCAGACAGACCCCTCAAGATACTTTTTCCATGAATTTAACATTGTAATGACCTTAATGCCCTTTTACTCTTTCCAAAATGCCCATATCAAACCTTATACTTCCAAAAATATCCTGTGAGCTCCATTAATTCCAGCAAGGAACTCCAGCAAGCTATCCCGTGAGCTCCATTATTTCCAGCAGTGAAGATGAGTTTGGAAGGGCAGCGGTAACTGTTAGTGTGTGGTCCAAAGTCCAAACCAGGCGCTTGACGCAACGAGCTTCTTCAACAAGAGACCAACAACGACTCTAAGCACTTCAACGACGATGCCTCCGATCTCCGCCGCGACACGACAGCGTACACTCTTGCTTCCACTGCCACATCCACTATTGCTCGGTCTGCTCCCTGTTTTCGCTGTCGAGCTCGTTGTAGCAGTGGGCAAATGATATGCAACGACGAAATCCTGTTAGGAGCCAGTCTTCACCGCTGCTTCGCCGCCGTTCAAAGCAGCGCATCTTCCAAACTCACCGCCATTTATGTAAGCACAAGGCCCACTGTTTTTCACCGCCGTTCTCGTCGTGGGTCTAGGCGAATGAATCAGAGTGGTGGTTTCGAATAATAGCGGATTGAATAGCCAAGCATGAACCGACAACAATAAATTGAGTCAAGACGAGACGACAACAATGAAAGGAGCAGCGGGACTGAACTTACCGACGAGTCGCGGGACTGTATTTATCGGCGAGCATGGAGGACTTGTTTTTTCCGGCGAGCATGGACTGTTGACTGCGATGAGGCGGACGGCACCAGCGATGAAGCACTAAGCCTACTGAAACGGCGGCAGTGAGCAGCAATTGTAATAGTCGCGACTCGAACGACGATGTGAGTTCAACAACGATCAAAGATGAATCCGCGGCGGCAAGGATGAACAACTAACTGAATCGGCGTTGCACTAAATGTCGACGGCACCGAGGATGGTGATGATTGCGGCGACTTGTTCAATTCTTGAATTGAATTCTGTAATTGGGTTTTGGGAAATTGTTATTTTTTTCTTTCTACTCACTTTATTGCAGCTGAAGATGGTTTCGGTTTGGTTTTTTTATTTTTTATTTTATTTAACTTCCGGTGGGTTGTTTTGGGTACTTTTTTAGTAAATTCATAAAATATTATTATTTTTATATATTTTACAAAATTTATCAATAAGGACATTTTAGTTTAATATTATCTTAAATGTTTAAATAAGACCTATTTGTACAAATATCATAATTTAAAAGTGATTTTTTAAACTTGAGGAGTGCAATATGCATTGTGACATATTATGTGAGTGTTTTTTGCATTTCATCCGCATATATATATATATATATATATATATATATATATTTTGTGATGTTGCATCAACACATACATTTCAATAAAGACGGGTTTTTGAAAGGTGAAACTGAGACAAGTACCCTTCTAAGAGCATGTTTGTTGGTTGGATTTAGGGAAAAGAGAGAGGAAATGAAAAAGTAAGGGGGAAAATGATTTACCTTATATAATTATATTTTTCTCTGTGTTTGAACAAAATTGAAAATTATAAAAAAGGATTTTGATTTCTTTTTCCTTTCTTCTTCAGTTTGAAATCCGATTTGGAAGAAGAACGTTTCAAATTTGAATTCCACATGACATATCTTCCAAGATAGCAACTGCTTTGTTGCTGTTCATAAATGGCAGCGAGGTTGAACTCAAGTTTCAATGTTCATTGGGTCGGTGCCTCAATATGTCCTTTCTATTTTTGTCCTTTACTTAAAAACCACAAAATCTTCAAAAATTCTCATGTGCTCACTGGTTGTATCGATGGGACAGATTCTAGTTAAATGTGTCGGTTATTATTTGAAATTAAGGTAAAATACTGTAATCATCTTATTTCATGTGTAAAAATTACCCTTCAGAATTTTTTGTTTTTTTAATTTTTTGTGAAATGACCAAATATGCCCCAAATCCACGACTCCTCTGTTTTTGTGTTTTTAAAATCCAGAGTATTGCATTTACATGCATTAATACTCGTATATACTTTGTATGTAGTGGTCATGTCATTTAGATGTAAAATTAACTATTTGAGTCACAATTCACAAATGAACATCACTGTACATAGTTGTGGCCAAAGTCTGATGCATTAAAGTTGAGAGTGCCAGCTAAAGAGCATTTTATTTTATTTCCCAGATTTTCAAATTTCTTTTTATTGCTTTCACATTTAGAAAGACATTTCACCTGTTTTTATATATATATATATATTTTTTTTGTTTCTGTTTCAACTTTCTGGATTCTTTGTTTATTTCCTCCCAACAAACCCTAGTAAATTAAGCATAGCTTTCATGCTAAACACCAAACAAAGTGGGCCCAAACATTCGGCACTCACAGAGTACATGGTCCCCACCATTCTTCCGTACCATCGCCCCTTACAGCACTTGTACCTTTACACCTACGCCACCCCCCACCACAACTCCCCATCCCCACTTTATAAATTCCCCCCCTCCCTCTTCTCAAACTGCATCACCCCCATCAAAAACAACCCATTTTTACCATCCTTCTCTCTTTCTAGCCTAAAATTCTAAAAACCATTGTTTTTTAGGTTTTGCTTCTCATTCACATGAGACAAGGAGGGAGATCAAGTTATTATAGAACAAGTGAATATGGAGAGTCCATACTATGCACCCCCACACTCGGACGCATCTCGGCCGTCCCTAGGCTTCCCTCTTGGGACAGCCCTCCTCTTGATCATCATCTTCAGCTTGAGTGGAATCTTCTCGTGTTGTTACCACTGGGACAAGCTCAGATCCATCCGTCAATCACTCGCCGAGGCCACAGATCTGGAGGCAGATACCACCCATGAATCCTCCTCCAAACCTAAACCCACCCCCACGGTAAAATTCCTCCTCAAATCATAATTAGGACTACTTCTCTTCACACTAATCAACATATTGATTATAATTATTACCACTAATCAATTTTTTTCTTTCCTTTTTCTTCCAAACAGAGTCCAAAGCAAAAGCTAAGCGAAAGCTTGCCAGTGTTAATGCCAGGTGATCGGATCCCAAAATTCATAGCATTGTCGTGTCCGTGTGAGCCGCCGCGGACAGAAAAGATCATTGTAAAGGTGGAGAAGCCGCCGCCGCCGGTAAAGCCGCCCAGGATAGCGGTGCCTTTATATTGACACAAAAAACAAAAAACAAAACATTGATGTATATTATGCAATTCGAAATCAAATTTCACTCTCTTGTATATGTAAAAAGATAATCGATTTCTTTTTCACTCTACATATTTTATACTTTATACCAATCGTTCAAGGACTACATTAATGTACAGAATGAATCTTACAAGTACATGAGACCATTGATACATGAAATGTTTCTTAGTATGTGTGTGTGTATATATATATGTATGACTCGTACAAATTCTCATAGTACTTAAACCAATTAATTGACGAATAACTGGTTGGTTTTTGAAGAATTAGAAAAATCCACTTTTTCCTTAAGACTTGAATATGATTTTATTGGCAAATGACTTCGGTAAGAGCTATAAAAGTGGGTTGCAAATTAATCCTCATAATTTGATTCCAAGCCACTTATTTGTTGTGGATGTGTGAAAGAAATGGTTTAAAAATGTACTGGGCTGAGTCAGTATCAGGTGAAAACCTGTTTTCTTGCAACCATTCACAGGGCAGCCAGCAATTTGATTAGTTTTTTGTTTTGGAATCATAAAACCCAAAGTAACTTTATTCAGTGCAAAGTTTGGTCCAATCTTTTTTAAATCCACAGTTTTTTAATACTCCTGTACCTAATATTTCAGTATCTGACTAATGAAAATTCTCCATTACTCTTAATAATAAAATATGAAAATTCATCATTATCGGGTACTATATTTCTGGTACTCTGTTCGGTTAATCCCGTATTGGGTTAATTTAGATTTTGGTAGATTTTACCGCATTACAATCTCTGTTGGTGAGAGAGAGCGAAGTCAAGGTAATTCAGCATTTTAATAATGATTGTTGATGAGTGCTTCAAATCTTTCAATTGAGTTGGTTGGTGTAAAACCTTTTTGAAAATGAAGATGATTGGAAAAATATTGAGTCTAACAAGTGAAGAAAAAGGGGCCAAAAGCAGAGTTATAGTCGTAAGGCCACTTAATTATGTGGTCTGCCATGTTCTAGACTTCTTGGCAATTGATCCAATCTTGGAACATAAAATTTAGCTTTTTGACCATCTATGTACTGTTCACCCATCACTCTAGGATCTAATGTATTTGAAACAACTCAGAATTCAGATATTTTGCCTCCTTTCACCCTTCGAACACACGCACATGTATAGATATATATGCAGAGAGAGATCAAGTTTAATCAACATATATATGGTTTGAGGAACTGAAAAAGAGAATTTTTGAATTCAACAGAGGAGAATTTCATGGTTTGAGTGACGTCTGATGATAGCTTGCTTCTTCTTCTTCTTCTTCTTCTTCTTTTTATTTTTTTATTTTTTATTTTTTAACTTTTCTTATTGAAAAAACATGAGTGGAACCAACGCGTGATGCTCTCTCTCCATCAAAGATTATTTTACCACTTTGCTTTGCACTGCACAAACACTCAAATGTCCCAACTTCACTGTTTCAACAAAAGTGGTTTAGTTCAACCAAATGCCACATGCCACATTGTGGGTACTACTTAGTACTGTTGTACTAGATCCGTAATCGTTTTCGTTGTTGTTGCCCAGTACATTTCACTTTTCCATTTACTTTCTGTCATCGACACTATGTTTGATTTGACACTTACCTCTTCAAATGTTTTTTATTTTTTATTTTACGCCCACAAAATCACTATGAAACTCAAGTCTCTCACCTCCACGAAGAATCGTGCTTAAATCGAGTGTTACTACATTGTAGAATTATGAGACTTGTTTGCATTTTAAAAATATATGTTTTATCAACTTACTTATTGCAACGGAAAGTTTACTTCTTGTGGTTTGGGTATATCTAAGGGTGGTAATCGGTCAAGATTGAGCAATTTTGGGCTGATCATGACAGAAAAATTAATAAGGGGTCAATAAATTATTATTAATTTATTTATAATGGGTGATAAAAGGATTGAGTATTAAATGAAGTAGTTAACACACACCTAATTAGGGATGGCAACGGGGACGGTTTTAGGTTGGTGTATCCTTCCCTGCCCCCGCAATCGTTTAGAAACCCCGTCCCTGCCCAAAATCGTCCAAACAGGGAGCCTTTCCACCCCATTTCCTTCCCCGTTTAACTTTTTCACCCACGGACACCTGCCCCGCCCTGTTCTGTTTTATAATTTCTCTTTCTTTTTTAATTTTTTTCCCCCTCAAATACAATTATATAACTATTTAAAAAATTCATAAAAATGGACAATCAATAATTTAACATAAAATTCAAGGTTGTGAGTGTTTTTCATTCGTAAAACTTTGCCGCTCTTTAGAACGAGTGAGAAAGTGAATGAATGTGATCTAGTGTTTTTACAACTAATTATATATACTAATAAATAAGGGTAATTTAGTAATTTAACTACCTAAACGGTAAGGGACGGGATGGAATGACCTTCTCCTACACCCGCCCCAAACTTGCGTGAGTTTTTATTAATAAAAATCATCCCCGCCTAAATAAGTTAAACAGTCCCCAAAAATCGCTATAAACGGGCGGATACCTGTCCCCACAAGGCAATTTGCTATCCCTACACCCAACCCAATTACTCAAATATTTTTATATACAAATTGTCAAATTATTTTAATCATTGAATACCAAAAGAAAATATATATATAAAAAATTTGAATTAAATTTATTAATTTTTTTATCTTACAATTTTTTCTTTCTGTGTTTTTGGGAAAAAGTTACTTGAGAAAACGGGGAGAGAGAAATGGAGAAAAGAGAGAGAAACAGGTGATAGGGGGGGGGGGGGGGGAAAAAAACGAAGGAGAGAAAATGGTGGAATAGGAGGATAGAGAAAAAAAGGGAGATAGACTTATCAATGTAACGGATCCTGATTCGATTAGTCAGATGAATTGAAAAAAAAATTTGATAACCCGATTATGATTCGAATCCAATAATCTATTAGCTTAACAAATTGGATATGAATTATACTGATCCGATCCGATAATAATCTGATTCGTTCGGATTACAATGATATTTATAATTATTTATCAATAATTTTACACATATATATATAAATACACCTATTAGAATTGTATTAGAATTTAGGGGTAACCCAAAAATCCAAATATAAAAAATCATAATGTTATATATATAATAGTATGGTGTTCTCATCCACGTGCTAATAAATCTTTTAATATATATACAAATAATATCATACTCTTTATTAATTAATAAAGAGTAAATAAATTTTCTTTTCTTTTCCTTTCATATTAGAGTATTTTTTTTTTTCTTTTCCTTTCATATTTTACTTATGTTTTGTTTTATATCTTTTTCTTATAATCATTGTTTTTTTTAATCCCTTTTGACATTAATTTATATATATATATAACCTACATTTTTATCGGATCGAATTTCCTTTTATTAACAAATCAGATTCGAATTAACTTACAAAATATCCGTCGGATTATCGGATCGGATCGGATCGAGTAAAATGCTTATCGAATTTGGATCAGATCAAGCTTGATCCGGTCCGAATCCGATGACAGAAAAAGGGAAAAGAATATTAATAATATTAGAACAACAACACTTTCCGTAATATATATTACTATTATGTTTTTTTACATTAATTTTTTGATTTCAAGCATTACAAATTTATTTTTTTCTTTTTTATGATAGAAAAAGGAGAGAAAAAGAGAGAAGAAAAAGAAAAAGAATAGGATTTTGATTGAGCGGATTAAGATGGGTACCCACTATTCACCCACCGTTGACCGTTGAATAAAATGAGTACTCACTTTTTATTCATTATTGACCCACCCACTTTAAATTTAAATACCAAAATAATTTAATTTTAGTATATCTGAGTTTTCCAAATCTTACAAATGACAAAAAATTTCACAGTATATAAAGCAAACACCGCACAAACCTCTGATTATGCTATTTGATCATTGCAATCCTATGTGACTGGATTTAGGAATACATAAGTTCTAGTGACATATAAGAAACTAATAGAAAAAGAAAGAAAAGAAAAGATGAGTATGTTCTTATCTTAATCCTTGCTTGTTTTATTAGAAGACTGAGATGATGCAAGAAAAAGAAAGATAAGAGGGCTGAGCATTAAAGAAATGATAAAATTTATGACCCTGACTGTCCAACCATATATATATATATATATACATATATATATGTATGTATTTTTCCTACGAATCTGATTACTATTAATGAAAAAAAGAAGAAGGAATACATAATAAAGCAAAGATGGGCATATCATAAGTTTGCTGACCAACAATGTCTCTTTATTGAGAAAATTCAAAAAGTAGAAAATTCGAGTGACCAACTATGTTCCCTCTAGAATTCAATAAAGAAGTAATTGAAAAGTAAGATTAAAAATGTACGGATAATAAACATTCCACTTAATGGACCCCTGTAGCCCCCAAATCCACATGGGGATAGGATGATACTACTACTATTGGATTGGGCCTCTCAATAACAGTGCCTAGTGGGTTCTCAGTGCTCTTATCTCTTTGATGTTACTTCCAATTTTTTAATTTTTTAATTTTTTAATTTTTCATTCCATTTTAGTGTAATGCCAAGGATTAATGTCCAAATAAACTATCATCCCTGTCTTGACACCTCTTCATTCTATATGAATCTTGATTTATGTGAGTATGGTGTCTAGTATATATCAAAATAATGAATAAAGAATCTTTCAAACCCATAGAATTATGGATATAGCCAAATGCTTCTCCCATAGAGGATTAAGTGGGACAGATTGAACATGATGAATAAGTGACAATATAGAAACATGAATGATACATCCTTGTTTTTATATGACCTATAGTGCAAACCTACATCCTACAGAATAAAGTCACGTTTTCAAAGATTAGGTATGGCCCACAACTGAGTAAGCTGATGACGCAGATGATATAGGGTACCCTAAACACAACACGCTACAATTGATCAATCAACTGCATTGCTTCGCCACAACTTCTTCTGGTGGAAATCCTCATCAAAATTAGGTATATATCATAAAAGTTAGGCCAGTCTCTCTCAACATTCCCCTCCTAGGTGGTATTAAGAAATCTTATTATTGCTATTAATTAGTTTAATCATTGTAATGAAAGAGAAAGTATTAAATATTTGAAGCCATTTGATTATAGATGTGGTATGTTGGTGGGCCTCACCACATCTAAAGGGGTGGGATGACCCAAGATACCATACTCCCGAGTATTTAATACTTTCTGAGTTGTAAATAGTGTTTTATGATCCGGCCAACCCCAGCCAATAATTTGAGTTTTTGAGTTGCATCATAAGTACTCGGCCTGTTACACCTACTCTCATGGGCTTATTCACATTCCTCCATTATCGACTCAAGTTCACACCCTCTCTATTGACTCGATTCTCATGGGCTTGTTCATGTTCTCCATTTCAGACTCAAGTTCAGAGCCGTCCGACTCTCATCACAAGCTTTTCCCTTCTCGGGAGTTGTTTGGATATTGTTCGCCTTATAAGGGGTGAAAGAGTTTGTAAGGTGGACAGTGATTTATGAACATTTGAACGGGAGACAAAATAACACACTACAATAAGTTAGAGACCTATGGAATAAATGACCCCGATTTATGTAATATAACAATGAACAATTTCAAAATATGGATGATACTTTTTATTTTATGATTTAATGTAATACCTTAGAACAGAGCAAGGCTTGTTTGTCTAGAGAATATAGTCTTCTTTTTTTCTTCTTTTCTGCGGTAAGGTAAGTAAGTACTCATATTTCATAACCATTTTTTATATGTTGCATTTAATTTGATCATCATAACTATTATATGCATATAGATCTTAAGGTTGATAAACTAGCATTCCATATATAATAGTTATGAAGATCTAAAGAGTAATGTCGCATTTTGAAAGATTAGGTTTTTGCCTGCAACTGAAGAGGCTGAGTCTGATGTTGCAGATGATGAAGTGGGGTACCCTAAGAAATCAATCAGGTATATTGTTTAGTGGAAATCCTTGTAAAAAGTTAGGTATACATATATAATATAATAAAATAAGTATAGTGCATAGGGTACACACTTCCTTTCTTTCTTTATCATACTTTTTTTTGGCGTTTTGAGGTGACTTATAATTAATTAATGCCTCTTATTGTTCGAATCTGTGTTACTAGTTTGTGCAGTAGGATTAGCTGATTTATTATAATTCATTAAACCACATCTGACCAATTCAAATTTTGCTGTTATCAGTTTGTGGATATATATATCTTCGTTTGTAAGATATATGTATGTGTGTGTTTCATCTAGGATTTTGATTAAAGGTAATTAAATAAAGTGGTAGGGTCAACAAATTATGGAAATTAGGTACACAATGGTCACCATTTCATCATATGTGTGTGTGTATATATATATATTCCAAGATTGTTTATATGCGCAATGAGTTCCCATCAACTTGCATGAGTGGGATGCATCCTAAGATAGATCTTTGTAACTATTATATATGTGTATACATACACACGTTCATATATATATATATATAGACATATACACACATTACTTTTCCATGGTTGTTGTCTTTTCTTTGTTCCCCTCTTCATGTGAAGATTCCAATATCTAAACTGTGGATTGTATTATGCCTGTAAACTAACCAAAAAAAAAAAAAAAAACTGTGGATTGTATGGTTTTCAACTGTGGATTGTATTATGCGTGTAAACTAACCCAAAAAAAAAAAAAAAAAAAACTGTGGATTGTATGGTTTTCAACTGTGGATTGTATTATGCGTGTAAACTAACCCAAAAAAAAAAAAAACTGTGGATTGTATGGTTTTCCTGCGAGGGGTGGCCATGTTGGATGGAAAAATTAAGACAATGACATGTATTTATATATTAATATGGGTTCACCAACTCTATGTATAATAAAGGAATTATTACATATAAATAATATTAATGACCTATATTTATTATTTGATGAAGTTAAAATTTTTTAGTTTCGAAAAAATAAAGATATGAAAAAACACTATTTACCCTTACTGAAGTATTACTTTTGGGCACATAGGTACCACTTTTTGTGCATGCAGATATCACTTTTTGTGTTACACAAAAAAGTGGTACTTGATATACAAAAAATAGTATTTATGTGAATAAAGTGGTACCTCTATACCTAAAATAAAAGTGGTACCTAATATATAAAAAGTAATACCTCCGTGCACAAAACTGGTATTTATGTGCCTAAAAGTAATACTTCAGTGAGGGTAAATAGTGTTTTTTCATATCCACATTAGCATTTTGGCTAACACTATTTATTTGTAATAATCCCTATAATTAAAATTGGGTATATATTTGTATATAATATATACAAATAGTAAAATAGTAAAAGCTATAATATTTATGATAAATTACATTAATCATATACTTATATATATATATATATATATATATATATATGTATATGTATGTATATTAATTTATGATTTTGTAAGTTACTCAAAAAAGTAGGAAACGTAATGATGAATGTTTTTTTCTGTCAAAAAAGAAAAAGAAAATGATGAATGTTTTTTAAATGATTATTAAGTTTCTCTCATATCTTCAAACAAAATAAAAGTTCTATTATATCCTGTGCCTATAAACCTAATTATAAGAAACGATAAATTATATGCAAAAAAAAAAAAAAAAAAAAAAAAAAGAATCACGGCAAGCAAGGACAATACTTGTTGGTGATGTGACAGAATAAAAAGTTGACACATAACGATAAAAATTAATACAGTATGATATTAAAAAATTATAAAAATAGCAATACCAAATCTCTTGACAGTGCAACCTCCGTTCTAAAACTCAAATGGCCGCACTCCCCACCCTTCGCCGTCGCCGCCCCACGCGACCCCACCCTCTCTCTCCACCTTTCTTTGGTAACAAAGCCGCCTCAGCTCTTCTCCTAAACAAGACAATGCTCAAAATCGAAATTGTAAACCAGGCCAGGCCCGGAGAATGCGGATGCTCTTATTCAGTGGCACTCTTTTGTTTTCGGACCAAAGCCCATCATCATATGATCCTGGGTCTTGGGCTCAGGCCTGTTAGCAAACTGGTAGTCTGGCGCAAATACACGTTTTTTTTTTTTTTTTGAAAGTTTGGGGCAAATACACTTTTTTTCGGAAATATTGGGCAAATACACTTGCAAGTGCTAAATGCCCATATCTATTTTGAAGTTTGAAATGCACTATTTTCCCTCTCGAAGCCTCTCCCACATTCGGAGGAAGAACACAAACTGTTTGTGAAAATGCCCCAGCGAAATTCCATCGACTGTAAACAGTCTATCAACACCACACTCCGAAGATCCCCGAGACTTCTTCAAACCAATCACATTGAACCAGAACATCCGAAGACCCCAAAACCCAAATCGAGTACTAATCGGCTCACTCAATGCGATACTCCCTCAAGCAGCTCAACACAGAAGGTTTTTCAGAAGAAGGCCCCCAAGCGTTACCCAGAAGAAAATCCAAAGAAGGTGAAGGCATCAGATGCTGTGTCGAAAAGTTCCTCAAAGACAAATACTGGGTCGAGAAGATCTGCTAGATTCGATGGTGGGGTTAAAGGGTTTAGTTGTCTCCGACGTTCTCCAAGGTTTTCTGGAAACTCCGCTCACAATACGTTCAAGCAAGAGGGTTTATCAGATGCGGGTAATGTCAAATTGGGCATTGATTTGCATAAACAATCTGTGGGTAAACCACAAAAGAGGGTGACTCGTAGTTCTACTAAGGATAATGCCAATGGACTTGTTGAGAAGACTGGCAATGATGAGAGCAATGGGAATATGTCACCTGCTTTAACTGACATTTTGGATAAAGGGGATTTATCAGATGCAGAGAGAGCAAAGGTTGGTGCTAGTTCATGTGACCAATCTGCAGGCCAATTGAGAAAAAAGAGGACTTTTAGGTCTGTGGCATCTTCGAAGGTTGTAGTGGGAGGACGGGAAAGGAACGTGAGAGATATTGATAAAGGAAGGAAAGAGATTGGGGTTAAGAGGAAGAGAAATCAAGCTGAGGAAGGTTGTGGGACTTTTCAGGGCTGGACTAACGATCAAGAAATTGCGTTGCAGAGAGCTTATTTTGCCGCAAAACCGACGCCTCATTTCTGGAAGAAGGTTGCAAAGCTGGTAATGATTTGCCTTTCAAATCTTTTGGTCTTCAATGATTTTCTATTGTTGGTCTAAATGTTTTTTTTGTAAATTATAAGATAAAAAATAGAGTTAGAGAATATGATAGACATCTTGTATAAGATCAATTATGACTTTTTGGGATAATCTTAGAAAATATTTGACTAGTTGCAGTTTTTTTTTTTTTTTTTTTTTCAGTCTCGTGGTTCTTAGTGAATATTAGAATTTTGTAAAGAATTATAATTTCTCTGCGTCACTTAAATGAAGATAAAAGATTTGGAAATGATGAATTCATGCAATATGCAATGAGCAAAAACAATGGTTACATATAAGGGCTGCAATTATTTTTTGTCTACAAAATATTGACATTGTTCTAAATATTTTATGGAGATTAGGATTAGACCAAACCCGAGTGCCATGCTTGATTTGTATCTATGCCTAGGCACCAGAGACTAATTTTAAGGTTTTTTTTTTTCCTTCCAATTTTAGAAATTAGATTACTCATATTTATTTCTATATTTGGTATGTCTATTTGGCAGTATCTATTTTTTGATTATTTAGTAATTAGGGTTTGCCTGTAGTAGCCTATAGGACCTTATGAAATGGAGTATTTTTCATGCCTTCATAACTGAATATTGAGTATTATGATTATCCTCCTTAGATTTCTGCTCTCTTCGTTCTTCTTCTTCAATGATATTAATTCTATGTCTTGCTAAGCTATTAACATAGTTAAACTTTTTCAATGATTAATGCCTTCAAAAGCAACAAAGATTCAGTATCATATTACAATTTAGAGCATAGAATTAGTTTGAACGATTCTTCTGTACCAAACTTCTGTTTTAGGTTATGGCTGGTTGGATTATTTTGGCTGATTTAATCACTTAAGTTGGTCTGCAAAATAATGTGCAGTTAACTACAATAAAAATGATTATATTTCTTTTAATGGCCTAAGTGTTAAATTATTTAAATCATAATTAGGTCTTAGACTGATTATTCTTTAAAAAATGCATTCTCAAAGCTAAGAATATGAGAAATTAAAAAGAGATGATTTTATATCTATTAACCAAATATGATTCTTGACCAAATTATTAACTGTTAGTCAATTATTGAATAAACATTTTTGTCATGATCATAATCAATTTGAAAAATATAAACCAAACATAATTTAAATTTTCAACGTCCCAATAATAACTCTACTTCATGAGTTGAGTGCTACCCATAGTCAGACTTCAAAATCATAAATTTGACATAATTAGGATGCCTTCCCTGCGTGGAGGACTGGAATAGGCTTCACATGAGATGGTTCTGGCAGCTCCTAATGCTGAAGTAGGAACAAACATATAGAAGACATGTGAAAAGTTATAAGGTTTGATGGGATTTTCCATGCTGGTAAAATTATAAATGAAATTTGAGCGGGTATATGATCTTGTCATCTGTAGGTCTAATCTTGAATGGCATTGTCTGACTTGGACACACCACATTTGCAGAAGCTTCGATGTGTTTCGAATTGTTAAAAAATGTTATGCTAAAAATGTTGTTTGTTAATGTTTAACCAGGTGTTTTGTACAGTTAAAGGATGTTATGCTAAAATTGTTACTCCCTCTGTCCCAAAATAAGTGTCATACTTTCCTTTTTTGGCTGTCCCAAAATAAGTGTCATACTTCAAAAACTAATACACTGTTTTTTGAATATTCCTAATATACCCTTTGTCTTGAAATTATAAAAGTTATTAAAACTTCTAAAAAAGCTATTGTGGACCCCACAATTCAAATTTAAATTGGGTCAAGACAAACAACTTTTGTACCACTCATAAATTGCTACAAGGGTATATTAGTAAATTCATCTCATACTACTATAAAAAAAATCATAAAAAATAACACTCTTAAAAAGTTGTATTCCCCATAAGCGACACTCTTTGCGGGACGGAGGGAGTATTTGTCAATGTTTAAATTATTTAATTGTGGAAATTAAAGATATGACATTATACTATCATGTAAAATTGTTAACATTGGCAGTTTGGTTTAAAGTAACATGATATAAATTCTGTGTTTTAGGGGTGTAAAATTAGAGTTCGTTTCAATATTTTTATATTGTTAATCATCTTTTTAGAAATGGTATAAGTTGTGAGATTATTATTTTTAAATTTTTGAAGGTATCCAAAAATAATAAAACAAAACAAAGGGAAATCGGTCACATACACAGTTCTAGTCCAACAGGATTTATTTCAAACTAAAGTTACTTGTTAAAACTGTTGCAGGTACCTGGAAAGTCTGCACAGGATTGTTTTGATAAAATCCATTCTGACCACCTGACTCCAGCTCAACCTGGAACCCGTTTGAGGGCAAACATAACAAACTCATCATCATTTTCACTTTCTGCAAGTAACTTTCTCAAATCTGCGGAGCCAAAGATTAAAAGGCGGACTTGCAGTAAACAGAAGAGACATCTTGCTCAGAAAACTGTGAGAAGATTACTACAAAAGCATTATCATGTTGACCAAGATTATGAAGCGGATCTATTCTCAGTTCTTGAGTCCACCTTGAATATATCAACTCAAGCTTCTCAACAGGATGTAATACTTTCCACTCCTGAATGTGGACAAGGAAAACGTGGATTACTTAAAAAGTACCAGGGATCTTCTTCAGCCCGAAAGAAGCACATTTCACGCCTCAGTGGCTCATTAGTGGCCACTCTGGTGAGTCCCCCGGTTCTGAAGCAGGTTAAAAACAAGGCCTTACATGAAAAATATATCGATCAGTTGCATTGCAGGGAAGCTAAGAGAAAGGCAGCATCTGCACGGACAGCAAAATCCATTCGAAGTAAAGAGGGTAGAAAAGAGAGCCTGAATCAGGGTGCAATTGAAGCTGCAAAAAATGCCCTGGTTTCTGATGCTAGAGACGTTATTAGTCGCTTCCAACATTTGAATGCCAATGTCACGAGCAACTTATCTGATTTTGATGATGATGATGATGGAGTTGATAGTGATAATGATGAAAGTGAAGAGGGAAGTTAACAAAGTCCTTTTCCCCTTGTATCAATACATCTGACTCTCTAGACCCGACAATGGCGGGAGCCTCGTACATTAGGCTAGCCCTTTATGTAGTTTATACTAAATGGAGTTGCATCTCTAACTGCTGACTCATTGTATGGAGTCGTACTTCTGTAAAAATAGTCCTGCATTTGCTGGTTCCATTCCTGGCTAATTCTTTTGTCATTTGTTCTTGAGATTCTTTTGGCATTCTTTTACTATTATGAGTGCATGTTTGATCTTATCTTCTGCTTGAAAGTGAAAAATGTGCAATAAATATTAACTTGTGTACATAGTGTCGGCTTATATTGGAGAAATTTCAACACCAAGAAACTTTTAGTACATGTAAGATTAATTGTGGGGTTTTAGTACATTTTTTACGAAGAAAAGATTAAATTTTTTTTTTTTTTTTTTGAAAATGACCAAGACATCTAGATTGTTTTAAGAAAAATTACCATCAAGTTACAAATAAGTCAAGAAACAATTACAATCGTAATACTGGATCCTGAATTTAGTACTACCTTTTTTCAGCAAGGAGGAGCATGATTAATTAATTTGTAACCATAAACTCAATACTGTTATCGCTTCATAAAAAAAACTGTAATACAAAATAAGATGGAAAAAAAAAAAAAACAGATTCTTAAGTTCCAGGAATTTTTTATAAGCACCATTTGAATATTAATTGTGGAGTTTGGAGATGTACTTATTTATTGGCCTTTCATTCTACTTGGAAGTTCTGTTACTACATTTACTATCTTATGCGTATTCATTACTAATATTTAACATTTTCATTGATAATATAGGTCCAATGGTGCGACCCATTTTTTACTACTGTAGACAGTGATGTTTCACATTTTTCACCCTGCAGTGGCGTAACTCGTTCACTATCTTTTTTATACACTTCCAACATGGATGATTTTTGTCCATGCTCGAATTCGAATTCCTCCCCTCCTTTTGTGTTAGGGGTCCTTGTCAAATGGTTGCGAAAACAAGCATTATTTCATGTCCAAGCTCAAGCGCACATATGTATATGTATAGTACGTGTCTCGGAAGAGTTGGTTGTGTGGACCAGTTCAACATCCATGAAAAACTAGATGTGATAACTGTCGAAGACAACTAAAATAGGGATGTGTGTGAGAGATTGGTGTGTAGAGAGAAATAAGTAATTGTAAAGAGAAATTGTGAGTTGAGTTTGTGAGAATAGAAGTAGTGTGTAATCAAGTTTTGATGTAAAATAATTCGTTCTTGGCTTCATTTTGAGCGTGTATAACATAATTCGGATTGTAAACAAGCATGATTTCAACCATTTTCTAGCTCAAATCCCTACCTGGCACATAGCGATGCAGTTGTTGTTCTCTTATTTCATCTGTTCCAAAAACCCACAAGAAAACTCGATCTTTTCATTGTCAACTTCTCGTAGTTCACACATTTGCTTAATTTGTTGTTTCACTGGGTACTCACTAGGCACTGTACTCCTCCATCTTCCCTCTTTCTGTCTCCTATACTGACAATGGAAATTTACTCCATCTCTCCTTCCTTTCCCGCCTTTTTCTTTCCTTGCTTCTTCCCAAACTTGAACCCCTTCTTTCATATTACAATTGAGTGTCATCTACCCTACACATGGGTACTCGCATGGGATTAAAAAACTTTCCAATGTCCATGTACATTTACCATGATGGTATGTGTAACGGATGGGCGCTTGCCCATTTACCCAAAAACTTAAACCATTGGGTAGTACTGCATACCCACCCATTTATACCCATGTCACTTCTCATCCGGATCCGATGTGGGACAAGTTTCCCCTTGTAACATTCTCCCCCACCCGAACTCGCAACGCCTTCGTTGCGGTCGGGCCACCCTGCCTACCCTGGGTGGCTCACCCGGACGCCTTCCGGACCAAGTGCTTGGCGTGGCACCGGATCAAGGATTGGGTCTGCCTCTGATACCAACTGTAACGGGTGGGCGCTTGCCCATTTACCCAAAAGCTCGAACTATTGGGTAGTGCTGCGTACCCACCCATTTATACACATGTCACTTCCCATCCGGATCTGATGTGGGACAAGTTTTCCCTTGTAACAGTATGATATTATAAATTTAACACCATACAAAAGTGTCACATCACTTATTTAGGGTCTGTTTAGTAACATGAATTAATTTCTGTTTTTATTGTCAATTCCTAAAATAAAAAATCAAAAATAGAAATCATGTTCAATAAAATAATTTTTATTTTTTTACTTTCAGAAAGTACTTTCTCTTTTTAAGAAAAAAAGGAAGTGATAACTTGATACTTTCTCTAATTTCTGTACCCCGCTACTTATCCAACCAAAGCCCCCTTTCTCTCTGTAACCCATCATCCTTATCACCAAGACCCAGAAGACTCATAACTCTATCTTCTTCTCTCTACCACCACAAACTGCTACCAGATGCCGCCGATCATCCATTGAAGGCTGAAACCCCTTCCTTCTCCTACTGTTGACCCATCATCTCATCACACCGTCTCACACCACTACAAACTTGGAATTGGCCAACTGCAAGCGGTGACCGGTGACGAAGAGGACGTCGGAGTCGTAACGCATGAGAGAGCTCACAATAACCCTGTCAGAGTCACACCGTAGAGTCGTACTACTTGATTTCAACATCGTCATCGCTGGCGAAGAAGAGAGCTCACAACAACCCCAAGAAGTCTTCACGGCGGCAGGATCACAGTTTTTGTTTTGTTTTGTTTTGTTTTTTTTTTTTTTTTTTTTTTTTTTTTTTTTTTTTTTTTTCTGACACTGTGATTAGAGCAATTGTAATAATAGTGGGTTCGATTGCAATTATATCTGGAAGATATCTAATTTTGTGTTGATCGAAATAGGTGCACTTCTGACTTTACAGTGGTTTAGGTGATGTTTCAGTTGATATTGGTTTGGATTTCACCTCATAACGACATAAGAAAAGGAAGGAGCTTTGGCAGCATTCGCCAGTAGACTTCTTCATTGAAATGGACTTGTATAGAAAGAATTAGAATCAGGGAATGAACTTCGAAAGCGAGGACGGGTCTGAATGCATCTATGAATGCCTATTTCCTTGCTTGCCTTATCTTACTGATTTTATAGATTCTTCTGTGAGTCAAGGACAAGCCAAAACTTCCTATATTTTGGGGAACCATGAAGCACTTTATTTTGCAGATTTCCTGAATATGAACTGGGGATGGTGGGATTGGTAGATGATAGAACTGGGTATGCAGATGATGATAAAAAAACAAAAGCAAAATCAGAATTATTAAACTTGATTTTGTTATTTTGCTTTCAAAATTTTAATGAATTTGAGATATTACTAAACTTGATTTCGCTTTCTATTTCAGCTCTAGAAATCAAAATCATGATTTTACTTTTCAAGAAAGTAAAAATAAGAAAGTAAAAGCGTTAGTAAAGGGCCCTTATCATTTCAGTTTATAATTTATATTTTATCACTTTAAATTTTAAAATAGTAAAATTCTGTAATAAATATGGTGAAATTGCACTATGAAGTGACATCTTAAATTTTAGTAGTGGAGCATCACATGCTGTGATATGTAAGCATGGTACGTGATAATGACATTGGATCTTTTTTTTCAACGACCTAATACTATTATATACTTATATAAATTGACCGATTCGACCTTAAATTTTTTTTTTTTTCCACCAACAAACAAACAGGAATAAATTGAAAACAAAGTTACATTCAGGGAAAAAAGCATTTAACAATCACGAAGGCCATATGCTCCACTCCAAATCGCTACAAACGGCTTCAAGAGCCTTTTTGCTCAAAATATGAGCCATTATATTTCCTCCACGAGGAACCCAAGCAAGAGAGGAGGAGGGATATACCAGAAGCAAGCTGTGAATATCCTGGAACAGAACCATTTGAGCTGCCACCAAAGCTTGCAATTGCATAACAGGCTTGCAATCTCCCTCTACAACAACATCACTATACCCCCAACTGCGAAGAAGTAAAAGAGATTCACGCAAAATTAGACTTTTAGCAAGTATAGGACTAGAAACATGATCAAACAATATGGAAGAAACTTTTATAGGGAGGCCACGGTGATTCCGAAGGATCATTCCCTCCCCCCCCCCCCCCCCCAAGATTGGCGGCAAGAGTTGAAAGTGGCATCAAAATTAAGTTTAAAACACCCATACGCCGATGCCAACCACAAAACCGGAGGGGAGAGAGAAAGAGATGAAGGAATGGACAGGAGACTGTTTTGCCTCTGGACTTCTTGAAATTCCTGAAAATCAATCAAAGCTTTTTGGGCAGCATCAAAGGGATCCCACCTCTTGCGCTTAAAAACAAAGTCATTTCTACACTTCCAAATGGTCCAGCAAATGAACGCGGCGAGAGCCGTACTGTCAGCTGAGGCATCTAGGTGCTGCCATTTACCACAAATATCCACCCAATGCTTCTTCCACACAGTAAGAGAATGAGAGTTGAAATTAAAACGGAGCGGATTCAACTTCCAAACAAGGTAAGCGAAAGGACAAAGGCAGAGGAGATGGTCAACAGTCTCAACCGAAGTCTCACAAAGAGGACACGCGGAAGAGACAGACGCCTCGCGACGACAAAACAAATTATTAACAGGAATATGATCATGAAGACTCTGCCAAATAAACAAAATAACTTTCCTGGGAACGTGAATATTCCACACAGTACGCCACATAGCCCCAGAATCCACATCAAAACTACAACTTTCAAGAGAGGGAGACCGAGGCAATTGGAAAATAGTCGAGAGGGCCACCTGGTACGGACTTTTAATAGAGAAACGCTCATCCTTTGAAGCCCCCCACACCTTACAATCAGACTGGTCCATCAAACTAAGAGGAATCTGGAAAATAAGAGCCCGGTCCCTTTGATTAAAGTAACGCCCAACCTTATCTGAGTTCCATGAATGTGAAGAAGGGCAAATCAAATCAGCCACCGAAGAAAAAACCGCGCCATTTCGAACCGATGAAACCGAAGGGTTGAAGGAATCAAGAAACCAATTATCGCGCCAACAATTAACCATTTCTCCATCCCCAATATGCCATGTCAGCCCCTTTCTAATAACCTCTTGGGCTGAAAGGATGCTCTTCCAAACCCAAGATGCATTAGACCGTGCCGGAGAGTCAACGAAATTGCAATCTTTGAAATATTTCTGTTTAAAAGATTTATACAACAAAGACGATTAGCCAATCTC